CAATCTAGCGTTAGATAGCCGCTCCGCGGCACATCGTTGGGCCGGTTCGATGTTCTGAGCATGCCGTGTGATTTTGGTACGATGTTTCTGGACTAAATCGTTCATAATTATCGAAATACGTACGTCCCGGAGCTAGCTTCAGCGCCACACCACCACGTTGCGGCCACGGGCCGCCACCACCGCGGAGCTGGCGCCTCCCGATGGCCGCCGAGTGTCGTGCGCCATCCGCATGTGTCCTCATCACGCCTCAGCGCCGCGTGCAAAGGGCGGCGGCCTCGACCCTCGAGCGAGCAGCACTCGGTCGTCGCACCACAACACACCAGAAAAGCCGGCGGACCACAACACGCCAGAAGAGTGGGGAGGCTCGTCCGCCATGCCGATTGTCCATCAACCATCTACGAGAGCAGAGCAGAGCTTGCGACTCACGGTCTACAGCCTGACATGTTAGTTCCGCCCATGGCGTGTCTGACTCTGAGACGGTGCGATGTGCCATCCATTGCCTCGCCCTCTGATGCCGCCGATGGCTTGCCTCGCCATCGCGTAGCGGACAGGGCGTGCACTGCCTCCGTAGGCGATAGCCGGCAGCGATTGCGTACGCAGAGTGTACATCAACCGGCGCTGTGTGGCAGATCGGCCACAAGTTCGGCCACCGTGGCGTGCACTGCTGTGCGGTGGCTCTCCGGCCTCTCGGGGCTGCGGGGCGAGACACACGCAACACCCGCTATCAGCCACTCCCTCTGGTCCTTCATTCGCAGCAGCTGCAAAATGTGCATGGCAACACGTACTTACAACTGCAGGTGCCAATTACCCTCTTCTACTGCACCCCTCCCCCGCGGCGGCGGCTGCGGCGCGGCTGAGGGCTCGGGGGCTCCTCGCCAGCCTGCCGGCCCCGCTTGCCTCGACCGCCCCGCCGGCTCTTCTTCTTTTGAGGCTTCGCGGCGCTGTCTGTCGCGCTTCTCCTGGCGCTGTTTCTCCCTGGCGCTGGTTGCCGCATCTGTCGAGGAAGCGGAGGCTCCAGAGCAGGAGAGTCGCGTGTGTCGGCCACCGAGCTGCCGGGAGGCCCTACCCAGTCTCGGACGTCCGCACTGGGGGAGACCGGTGCGGCTGCTGCTGCAGCACCACGTGTGCGACCAGCCGGTGCCGCTGCAGCGCCGTCGGTCGCAGCGGCGGCTGCTGTGCCTCTCGCACGGTGGCGTCTGCTCATGCGCGTCGCGTCTTGGAACCAGCAGCGACGGGCAGCGACGGGCACGTGACAAGAGAGCGCGAGTTCCTGGTTTCGCGGCAAGAAAAAAGAATTTTAGTTTACCACACCCCAGGACGCGAAGACTTTCATCAGCTTCTCTTGGCTTAAATACGAGTCTTAACACGAGTGATTACGACGCTGGTCGCCCGACGACGCAGCACCAGCGAGCGGAAAACTCACCTCTCATGCCAAGACGCAAGAGCACTGTGCCCGGCCCAGATAGACAGCTAGAGAGACGTGCATCGACAATGCTGCGCGCGAACGCTCAGAGATCCGCCTCCTCTAGGTGTATGACGAGGAATTGACACCCACAGACAGCATTTTGTTAGCCGGCGAGGTGTCGCCTCGGCTGCGGGAGATTGAGATTACCCACCAGATCACTGCGGCACCAGGACGGGCTGGGCTCGGCTCAAAGTCGAGCGTGAGGGTGACCTCTAGGTCGCAGCCTCACGCGCAGCCCATCAGCGCACCTGTAGCAAGGCGTCCAGGATGAGGTTACGGGCTGCGCGCTGCATCTCGCCTGTGCTGCTGCAAAGGGTTTGGAGGGCAACGGGCGCAAGAGGTAGGTGTGGCGGGTGGTGGCATGCACCCTCGCACGCGATTCATCTGCCCCGGAGCATGCCCGTTCGCGTGTTGCCGTCGCGTACTCGACAGACATGAGTGATGCAGCTCTGAACATCCAGGTACGAGCGGCGTCTTGGCTGCCTGACGTGGAATGCGGCGCCATCGTGACGCTTCTGGCTGGCGGTAAGCCAGCAGTATCTCGCGGGCGGGTACGATCTTACGCGCGAGACAAGTCGCGAGGGTCCATCCGTCGGTGTGAGGGCCGCGCGCGCCTCTTCGAGCGAACGGAGAGCAGGGTTTACCGGCCGCTCCGCCCGCCTGTGGCCCCGCTGTGCCACACCCGCTCGGCACCATGGTGGAGGTGCAGGTTTGGGTCAGAGTGGTAGGACGAGTTGGTTTGGAGCGTAGGGCATCGCATGGCAACGACAGGGACCGCAGGTACGGCTGTGAAGCGCGCCACAGTCCATCCGCGACACGGCGTGGGTCGGGCGCCGCGTCAAGTTATACGAGGGTACTCCGAGCGAGCGGCGGGTGGACTATCGCCTTCACGATGCGTGGCTCGGTTGTGCTGGCCCCAATCTCGTTGGCGGTTGCCGCAGCAGTCCTGATTGACCGCTTCATGCGCCGTCGCCG